GAAAGCCTGCCGCCTGAAGAAGAGATCCAGAGGGAACACAAGTGTTGTACAGAAAGCCTGCAGCCTGAAGAAGAGATCCAGAGGGAACACAAGTGTTGTACAGAAAGCCTGCCGCCTGAAGAAGAGATCCAGAGGGAACACAAGTGTTGTACAGAAAGCCTGCCGCCTGAAGAAGAGATCCAGAGGGAACACAAGTGTTGTACAGAAAGCCTGCAGCCTGAAGAAGAGATCCAGAGGGAACACAAGTGTTGTACAGAAAGCCTGCAGCCTGAAGAAGAGATCCAGAGGGAACACAAGTGTTGTACAGAAAGCCTGCAGCCTGAAGAAGAGATCCAGAGGGAACACAAGTGTTGTACAGAAAGCCTGCCGCCTGAAGAAGAGATCCAGAGGGAACACAAGTGTTGTACAGAAAGCCTGCCGCCTGAAGAAGAGATCCAGAGGGAACACAAGTGTTGTACAGAAAGCCTGCAGCCTGAAGAAGAGATCCAGAGGGAACACAAGTGTTGTACAGAAAGCCTGCAGCCTGAAGAAGAGATCCAGAGGGAACACAAGTGTTGTACAGAAAGCCTGCAGCCTGAAGAAGAGATCCAGAGGGAACACAAGTGTTGTACAGAAAGCCTGCCGCCTGAAGAAGAGATCCAGAGGGAACACAAGTGTTGTACAGAAAGCCTGCCGCCTGAAGAAGAGATCCAGAGGGAACACAAGTGTTGTACAGAAAGCCTGCCGCCTGAAGAAGAGATCCAGAGGGAACACAAGTGTTGTACAGAAAGCCTGCAGCCTGAAGAAGAGATCCAGAGGGAACACAAGTGTTGTACAGAAAGCCTGCAGCCTGAAGAAGAGATCCAGAGGGAACACAAGTGTTGTACAGAAAGCCTGCAGCCTGAAGAAGAGATCCAGAGGGAACACAAGTGTTGTACAGAAAGCCTGCCGCCTGAAGAAGAGATCCAGAGGGAACACAAGTGTTGTACAGAAAGCCTGCAGCCTGAAGAAGAGATCCAGAGGGAACACAAGTGTTGTACAGAAAGCCTGCAGCCTGAAGAAGAGATCCAGAGGGAACACAAGTGTTGTACAGAAAGCCTGCCGCCTGAAGAAGAGATCCAGAGGGAACACAAGTGTTGTACAGAAAGCCTGCCGCCTGAAGAAGAGATCCAGAGGGAACACAAGTGTTGTACAGAAAGCCTGCAGCCTGAAGAAGAGATCCAGAGGGAACACAAGTGTTGTACAGAAAGCCTGCCGCCTGAAGAAGAGATCCAGAGGGGACACAAGTGTTGTACAGAAAGCCTGCAGCCTGAAGAAGAGATCCAGAGGGAACACAAGTGTTGTACAGAAAGCCTGCAGCCTGAAGAAGAGATCCAGAGGGAACACAAGTGTTGTACAGAAAGAGGGAGAGAGCGCCAAACTCAAATTTTAGAAATGAAACCTCAATTTTTAAAAAAAAAAAAAATGTTGGATAGTACCATCAATGGACTAGATCAAGCTAAAGAGAGACTTTCTGGGTTGGAAGACAAGACTCGGGACTCATTCTTCTCCAACAGCAGTAAAGAAATAAACAAACAAACAAAACCAAAACCTAAGCATGACCACAGCATGCAAGCAAGGCTTTGGATCCTAAGCTGGAGAACAAAAGCAAGCATCCATGACATAGAAGCTGAGATAAAAATGAAAGGCTCCAGAACCCATATTAAGAAAAGAAAAAAAAGAGGCAAGCCCAGCAGTGAGAGGCAGGGATGAGAGTTAGAGACAGGAGAATCCCTGGCATGTAGAACCATGGGACAGGGAAGAGGACCTGACATACACACATGCAGCTGTCATTACCTAACATTTTACAAAGGAACTAAAAACACAATGGAGTAAAGACAGTCTCTTCAAATAGTGCTAAGAGAATTGGACACCAAATGTAAAATGTCTTTCCTAAGGAAAACAAATAGCCGGGCATCATGGTACAAGCCTTGAGGCAGAGGCAGGCAGATCTCTGTGCTACATAGAGAGCTCCAGGACCCAGAGCTGCAAAGCAAGACCCTGTCTCAAAAAGACAAGCAAACAAGGAAAAAGAATACGGACAATAAATGCTGGCGAGGTTGTTGGAGGAAAAGGAACCTTTCTCACACTGCCAGTAGGGTATAAATTAGTGCCTTCACTGTAGCTATTAGTGTGGGATCCTCAAAAGCTAATTTAAAGAGAATAATCTGGCTACAACAGCCTGAGGCATGCATCTGAAAGGTTCTGAGTCGTCTTACTACAGGGATCCCGGCACGTCCATGCTCACTGAGGCACCCTTCCCAGCAGCCGAGATAAGAACAAGCCAAGGTGTCCATATACACAAGGTGATTAGATAAAGAGAACGTGCTCCATATATACAGAGGAATTTTATTTAACCACAAACAACAATTGTGTGCCCTTGGCAGGAACACAGATGGGACAAGTCGTCATGGAATGCAGAATAAGCCAGACGTAAAACATGAGTGTTGTACGTTTTCTCTGATGTGCAGAAATTAGATTTCAAGGTGTATAGTGGGGATTGGATTAAGGGGCCAGAAGGGGGGAAAGAGAGAACAAAAGAGGGTGACGGGGTGATTATAGGAAAGTAATGCGCACGTGAGGGAGGGACCGGAGGGAAAGACGCTGGGCACATGGATAAGAGTGCCGTCCTCTAATTGGACACAGATTGGACTTCTACCCATGAGCACCAGCTGTCGCTGCTGTTGGCTTTATTGTGTTTGACACTTCCCTTGCAGAATTTTCGCTTATGCCTGGGTATCTCCATACCAAGGGTAGGGAAATGGCCAACCCTGGGATAACGGTGCCATCAGCGGGCTTCTCAGCCAATGAGTTTTACTTTAATATGAGACTAAAGTAATCTGACCCAGTAGTCAGATTAGCGGCTTCTCCTGCTTTAAGCCCTGGTACTTCTGGAACCAAATTCTATTCTGGCACTGCAAGACAGGCGGCTTCCTTACGTGCCTGACAAGCTGAGGTCCTAGACTACTTCTGTAACCCCTAGGAGCATCCTGAGCATCTGCGTGACAGCCTGAACTGCTTGCTTCAGGTGTCTTTCCTGGTGAGCAGGAACCTCATGGCACCTGTAGCTTAGCAAAAGCCTGTGGGAGGAGGGGGTCCCAGCTTAGCCAAGCAGAGCACAGGGCTCGTCTAGGGTCAGAGACTGCCTGGGATCTAACTAGAGTTTCTTATGTGTGAGACCCTCTGAAATGTGGTTCTTGTGTCTAGCGCCCCTCGCTTGATACATTCTTGTAGCCAACGTTGGTACCTCGTTCCTTCCCATGGGTAAAGGGCAGCGTAGTATTTATTCATCTGTGGGCTAGGCATTTATGTTTTATATTCTTTTCCACCCAATAAGTGTTAGTGATAGGCAGAAATGCCAGCTCCAGGACTAAGGGGCATCCCGCTATTTTTGATATTCGGTCTGCTGGGACGTGGAGGATACTGACAAGGACAGAAAGCTCATGAGAGTGCGGGCTAAATCCAGCCAGTACTGGGGTGTAAAGCTTACTGTTATGGATTTCTGGAGGGGAGGAACCTGAGTCCAAAATTATCAGAAAGCATTTGCAGCCAGAAAGAGAGAGCAGGAGAAAGGAGGGGGCAGGATAAAGGAGTCAGTGGAAAGAAAGAACATGCCACTGTACACATAAGACAGCATCCTATGGCAGCCTCAGTGTCAGGAGCAAGGAAGTGGCCTGGGGACCAGGGCTGGAAGGGCTGCATGCAGTCTACTACAGGTTGGTACTTCATCCTATGGTTGCAGAACTGATGGGGATCTTCAGGGCTCTGCAGGGCTTCAGTAGAAGGAAGTCTTAAGTTGATAAGTTGATCAGTCCCTTCTGGCAGGACAGAGAGGGAGGCCCCAAGTTGGACAGTGTACAAGCAAGAGTCCTCTCAGAAAGCTGAGACAAGGAGAGGGTACGGTCCCTGGAATCAGAAGTGTCAGAACAGATATGGTTAGGTGCCCATTTGTCTATAGACAGTCGGAGGGGGAAGTAGTGGGGATCAGAGGCACAAAAGTCATGCAGTCTCCAGGGCATGTGGGCACAGTGACTGGTGCCACTACAGAGTCCAACACTGGAACCCGGAAAAGGAAGGGCTGTCAGTTTTCCAGTGTCCCGGGACTCACAGCGCCCCAGTGAAGAGATTCTCCTAAGAACCTACAGTCCCCTCATCATGAAGGTGCTAAGAGCATGCAGAACATGCAGGAAGCTTTAGAGACATTCATGGGCACAGCGGCCAGCATGCTTCCCTTGGCCCTTTGTGACACTAACAAGAACCATGCATGGCATTTGTCACCAGAAACTACCAATGTGATAGAAACCCCAGATGAGAGCGTGCACGGCTGGTTCTCACATTCAGGGCCAGAGGGCCAGAGGGGCTCAAAGCTGGGCTATGACTGTGCAGCTGGAAGACGGCAGTCTCCTGTCCTGGTGTATAGCACTGACAGAAGCAGCCAAGGGCAGCAGCATCTTTGGGCTTGGGCTTCAGAGTTCTCCAGACCCCGATTTCACCGGGGAAGAAGCCCAGTTTATTCTCAGTGAAGAAGAGGCTGTGGCTGATTCCCAGACTCAAAGGACAAGTGACAAGGAGAAGGAACAGCACTGGTACACACAGAATCCCAGAAATGGCAAGGAGTGCAGTAAATCTCAGAGTGCAGAGAAGCTCAAACTCTGGCTATGGTTACAACAGGGGATGCAGACAGGACCCAAGCTGAGAGCTCAGCCTTCAGACAGCAATGAGCAAGTCCAAATAAGGTGGGACCCAAACCAGGCCTGAGGGAAAGCCACCATGCAGAAACAGTGTGTGGGTGACAAATGTCTCAGTAGCCTGGCCATCCAGGCCTCCAGTGCTGATTGTGACACTCCCTGCTCAGATCATGCCCTGGCGGGAGGGGCAGGATCTTCAGTCCCATCAACTCCAGCTTGTGTGCCTTTCGCTATCTGGTCTTAACAGATAAATTGCTCTTGTAATTCACAATAATATTACTCTGTTGTGAACAGGAAGAAGACGAGGAATGGAAGATGTCACCAAGCCTTTTCCTTCAACTGATGGAGGAAGGAAATAGCTTATACAAAGGTCAGTCCAGGAGAATGCCTGTCTGCTGAGTGTGCCCACGCTCCAGTGGGCGGGTAGATCCCAGGTGCTCAATCACAGGAGGCTATGTTATGCGAATCCAGCCAAAACCAGTCCCTCTCCTGCTCCTCATGCTTCCGAAAAGCATAGAGTCATGGTGGCTACTGTCGTCTTAGTTTAAGAAAAGCAACCTGGGACAGAAAGGGTATGTTTCAGCTCAGTCTGTCATGAAGGGAAGTTAGGACAGGACTCAAGTCAAGATCCTGGAAGCAGGAACTGGAGCAAAGACCATGGGGGAACGCTGCTTACTGGCTTGCTCCTGATGGCTGGTTCACTTGCTTTCATAAGCACCGCCTATCTAGGGGTGGCACAGCCCACAGTAGCCTGGGCCCCTTCCACATTAATCTTTAGTCAAGACAGTGCCTCCATAGACTTGGCTTTAGACCAATATAATGGAGGCAATTTGTTTGGTTGATTGGTTTGGGGGTTTGTTTGGTTTTTCCAGACAGGGTTTTTCTGGGTAGCCCTGGCTGTTCTGGGACTCACTCTTATAGACCAGGCTGGCCTCGAACTCACAGAGATCTGCCTGCCTCTGCCTCATGAATTCTGGGATTAAAGGCGTGCACCATGACTACCCAGCAATGGAAGTACTCTTTAAACTAAGGTTCCCTCTATCTTATGTTAAATTGGTAAATAATTAGCAATAATAATAATCTAATCAACAGAATTATTTTTCATTTGACACAGCCCAAAAATCACCCAGGAAAGAGTCTCAAAGAATTATCTAGATGAGGTCAGCCTGTGAGAGTGTCCATGGGAGATTGTCTTGACTGTTCATTGATATGGGAAGACCCAGCCCACTGTGGGAGGCATCATTCCTTGACTTGGACTGTATCAGAATAAAGAAGGCTAGCTGGGTGACAGCAAGAAGGCATCATGGGAGATTCTTTCTCCCTGTTCTTGCCGGTGGGTGTGATACAACTAGCCAGCTGAGCCCTTGCCTCAATGTCCCTGCAGTGATGGGCTGTAGCCAGATCAACCTTCCTGCCCTACATGGTTTTTCTGAGCCCTTGCCTCAATGTCCCTGCAGTGATGGGCTGTAGCCAGATCAACCTTCCTGCCCTACATGGTTTTTCTGAGCCCTTGCCTCAATGTCCCTGCAGTGATGGGCTGTAGCCAGATCAACCTTCCTGCCCTACATGGTTTTTCTGAGCCCTTGCCTCAATGTCCCTGCAGTGATGGGCTGTAGCCAGATCAACCTTCCTGCCCTACATGGTTTTTCTGGTCAGGGTGTTTTTCACAGCAACAGAAATGAATCTAAAAAAGCTGAGGAGAGGAGAAGACAATAATCAACTTTATATGGAAAAACAAAAAACCCAGGATAGCCAAAACAATCTTATACAATAAAGGTTTGTCTGGAGGCATTACCATCCCTGACTTCAAACTCTATTACAGAGCTACAGTATTGAAAACAGCTTGGTATTGGCATAAAAACAGAGAAGTCGACCAATGGAATCGAATAGAAGACCCTGACATTAACCCACAAACCTATGAACACCTGATCTTCGATAAAGGAGCTAAAAGTATACAATGGAAAAAAGAGAGCATCTTCAACAAATGGTGCTGGCAAAACTGGATGTCAATCTGTAGAAGAATGAAAATAGATCCATATCTATCACCATGCACAAAACTCAAATCCAAATGGATTAAAGACCTCAATATCAGTCCGAACACACTGAACCTGATAGAAGAGAAAGTGGGAAGTACTCTACAGCACATGGGCACAGGAGACCACTTCCTATGTATAACCCCAGCAGCACAGACACTAAGGGCATCATTGAATAAATGGGACTTCCTGAGGCTGAGAAGCTTCTGTAAAGCAAAGGACACTGTCACTAAGACAAAAAGACAACCCACTGACTGGGAGAAGATCTTCACCAACCCTGCAACTGACAAAGGTTTGATCTCCAAAATATATAAAGAACTCAAGAAACTAGACCGTAAAAGGCTAATCAACCCAATTATAAAATGGGGCACTGATCTGAACAGAGAATTCTCAACAGAAGAACTTCAAATGGCCAAAAGACACTTAAGGTCATGCTCAACTTCCTTAGCGATCAGGGAAATGCAAATCAAGACAACTTTAAGATACCACCTTACACCTGTCAGAATGGCTAAAATAAAAAACACCAATGATAGCCTTTGCTGGAGAGGTTGTGGAGAAAGGGGTACACTCACCCATTGCTGGTGGGAATGCAAACTTGTGCAACCACTCTGGAAAGCAGTGTTTCGGTTTCTCAGGAAATTCGGGATCAACCTACCCCTGGATCCAGCAATACCACTCTTGGGAATATACCCAAGAGAGGCCCTATCATACAACAAAAGTATATGCTCAACTATGTTCATGGCAGCATTGTTTGTAATAGCCAGAACCTGGAAACAACCTAGATGCCCTTCAACGGAAGAATGGATGAAGAAAGTATGGAATATATACATATTAGAGTATTACTCAGCAGTAAAAAACAAGGACTTCTTGAATTTTGCATACAAATGGATGGAAATAGAAAACACTATCCTGAGTGAGGTAAGCCAGACCCAAAAAGAGGAACATGGGATGTACTCACTCATATTTGGTTTCTAGCCATAAATAAAGGACATTGAGCCTATAATTCATGTTCCTAGAGAAGCTAAATAAGGTGAATCCAAAGACAAACACATAGGCATCCTCAGGAATATTAACCTTCATCAGGCGATGAAAGGAGACAGAGACAGAGACCCACACGGGAGCACCGGACAGAAATCTCAAGGTCCAAATCAGGAGCAGAAGGAGACGGAGCACGAGCAAGGAACTCAGGACCACGAGGGGTGCACCCACACACTAAGACAATGGGGATGTTCTATTGGGATCTCACCAAGGCCAGCTGGCCTAGGTCTGAAAAAGCATGGGATAAATCCGGACTAGCTGAACATAGCGGACAATGAGGAATACTGAGAATTCAAGAACAATTGCAGTGGGTTTTTGATCCTACTGCACGTACTGGCTTTGTGGGAGCCTAGGCAGTTTGAATGCTCACCTTACGAGACCTGGATAGAGGTGGGCAGTCCTTGGGCTTCCCACAGGTCAGGGAACCCTGATTGCTCTTCGAGCAGATGAGGTGGGGGGGACTTGATCGGGGGAGGGGGAGGGAAATGGGAAGCGGTTGTGGGGACGAGACAGAAATCCTTAATAAATAAATAAATTAAAAAAAAAAGCTGAGGAGAAACACACACACACACACACACACACACACACACGGTGGGAGCATTCTGGAACTTTCTCCCGTTGTGCACTCCTCAGCTGACCACTCTCTGGCTTAGTGGCATGAAGAAAGGCATTACATCGAAGAAATGAATTCCATATGTACACATCTTAATCCCCTCAGACCAAGACCCGTCTAGTTCTGACTATTGTTTTGTCGGGGGCTCAACTCCATTAGCATAGCCAGAACCTGGCCGAGTGTGTGAGCGCATGGGCTCTGACCTTTCAGATGTCTGTCGTAATTTGCCAGGACTGATATGCAGTTTCTTAGCTCTATTGCACTCTTGGGATAAATCTCAGCAGCAGATGATTGGCCAGCGTGGCCCTGGTCCTTAGCACTGTTGTGGAAATTCCTGGGAAATTAAATAAGGATGTAAAGGAGAAAGTTTTCAAACATCAGCTAATCATGGACCTCCTTCCTAATCTGAATCTGATCTGGACAACACTGGGTCAGATAGATGAATGGATTGATAGATGAGATAGATAGATAGATAGATAGATAGATAGATAGATAGATAGATAGATAGGCACAGACAGATGGACAGATGATAGACATGTTGACAGATGATAGACAGACAGGTGGACAGATGATAGACAGATAGATATGTATGTATTCAATATTGATTCAAGGTGTTTATCCCAGCAAATTGGATCATATCCTTAACAGCAATTCCACTATAGTTACAGGTCCACTATGCTAACTATATCCCAGCAGGTGCCATCTTACAAACCACTAGGCTTATGTCATTCAATCTTCATAGGAACCACACAATGAACACAGTCCTTGCCCTTGTCAGGTGGGACCGTTGGGGAGCCTGCCATCTTAAAGTCTGAGAATTCATGCTAACATTGACTTACAATGGAGCAGAACAGTTACCATCAAAAACATCCCTCCACTCCCATACTCACTCTGCAAACTCTGATTGTCTCCACTGTGCTGGATATGACACTGATCTAGAGATCCAAAAATGACGTCACCCACCAACATGTCTGCAGGGCATCAGATGGGGAGGGTCCAAGCTGGGCAGTTGTGCAAATGAGAATGAAAGTGGAAATGGGCCTTGAGTAGTCAGGGCCTTCAGCAATCCACTCTGCAAGTCTAGGCCTGACTAGGGTTTCACTGGTGTGTGTGTGTGTGTGTGTGTGTGTGTGTGTGTGTGTGTGTGTACAAGGATGATAATGGACAAGACACTGCACTGCACCGTCTTGTCTCTTGTCCTTTTACCCCCATGCGTGCTGTGTGTGCATTGTCTCCCACCAGCCGTCAGGGTGGCTTCCACACAGAGAAGCCGAGGAATTCCACATTCATTTTCTCCCTCGCCCTCTCCTGGGAGCCCTCCAGACCCTCCCAACCATCATAGGCCCTCCCTGATCTCTGCTCACCGCCAACCACATTCCTGCCTTCTCTTCTCTCCCTCACTATGGCGGCACCATCATCCGAGAAATCCTGAGCAGGTCGGACTTCCAGGGTGTGTAGGGCCACGTGCACATATTTACCCTCAGAATTTGCCTGACTCCCCCACCCCGTCGCTTTTCAAACAGCTATGCAGAGCAAATGAGGGCAGAGGAAGAGATATTGGGGAAGGAAAGCCTCCCTTGTCAGCCCAGGCTCTGAACTCTGAACATACAGGGAGAGCACTATGCAGACCAGAGAGAGTGATGCCTTTGCCAGCTGAAGGAGCTCACAAGGCCACGCCTTCACACACCCCCACACACACACCTCTCTTTCTCTAGCATGCCCAGCAGCTATGTGCCGCCTACTCCCCTTGTGCACAATGCTTGTCCCTTTGGGCCTTGTGCCAGGAAAAGCCTTCCTGGGGCCTCCACAGAGCGGCAGTCTCTGTCCCCACCTGTCCCCACCTTGCCCCTTTGCACTCAGCCCAGATGCCAAGCAATGGGCGTGTGGCTTCCTGCAGTGGGGCCCAAGCCCTGGAGGGTAAGATCTGTCACTTAGTTGCTCTGGAAGCAAGGCCTGGTCTGAGACTCATCAAATCGGCAGATTTATAATTAACACAGAATTTACTTCCATCGCGAGTGAATGAACGCGGAAATGAATGCATCAGTCTGTGACCCAGAGCCAGATGGCGAAAGGGTTTCATCGTTGCTGTCTTTTAACACTATTGCAAGCACTGTATATGTGCTTCTTTTTTGACAAAAAGCAAAAATGAATTTGGGGGTAATTCAGCATTCCCATGGAAAGCCAGGTCTTTCAACCTGTAACATCCTGAGTCTTTACCACTACCTTTTGGGCACAGCCGGTTTCCATGAAATCCAAGAAGCAGGGAGAAGCCGCAAGGGTCTTCTAGTTGGAGGCCTTGGCTGTCATCCTCCAGCTCTTCAGTAACTTAAATAGAAATCTCTTCATCTTCGAATCCTTCTCATGAAAACCAAAGGTTTGCCTTCTCAAATAATGTGTTAGCATTTTAATCACTAAGATTAAACCCCCTCTGCTCCCCCCACCGTACGGCCCTCCCCTTCCCCTCCATGTGAAAGGGCCCTGGCCTGCTTTTCACAGTCTCAGGATAAAAAGCTCCTTCTGGCTGTGACAGAGTGGGGGCAACAAGTGCCCTCTGAGGGTCCCAAACAGCTTCCTGCATTTACAAATGCCCATGAAATTCCTGAAGGGATTGAACAGTGCCCTGTGCAGAAGTGTCATGAGAAAGCAGCACTTCGAAGGGAAAAATCAGTCCATTGAGACCTTGTAGAGGGGAGATCAGAGGGCTGCTTGTGAGGAACCGTCTAACAAAGCGTAGCTGCGGCTCCAGCGTGTGAATGGCCAACTGTGACTGGGCAGGAATACTCGCGGTGCCTGAAGTATTCCACGCTCCTATTCTGAACGTCTTGTTCTCAGAGTCTGGGGAGCCTGAGAAGTGGGTCCTTGTGCATAGATAGCGAAGCCACTCTGCTCTCTGATGTCTTAATGCAAGCGGTAAATGCATGGTGGCTGAAAACTTAGCAGTCCTGCAAAGTGGAGGCACGTCAGGCAGTTAGCATGAGTAGGTGGCACTTTGTAACTCACTAAAACTCTCTTTGCTATTGTCAGGGGGAAATGTAAGGGTGTTTTGTTTTGTTTTGTTTTGTTTTGTTAACATAGAGAAAGAACCCAGTGAGCCAGGCAGTGCATACCCATAATCCTATCATAAAATAGGAGACCTCTAGGTCAAGGCCAGTTGGACTATATAGTGAGACCCTGTCTCAAAACTGAAGTAGCTGTCAGCCCTACATTTAGTCTGTTCTACATTTTGGAATAATGTGTACTTCACGAAATGAGCTTATTAAGAATATTTCTATTTATTCTTTGATAATTTCATATATGTATATAATGCATTCTGATCATATCCACCCCTGGTTCTCTGTTCCCATTCTCCCTAATCTCCCCTCAGCATGTCCCCTCCAACCTTCACTGTCTCTTGGTTTTTTCATCCTCTTCTGAGTCCAATCAATGCTTCCCACATGTACATCCTGTGGGACCATCCACCAGAGCATGGGTGACCACAGCAGTAGATCCCCCCCAAAATGACCCCCTCGCTGCCAAAACAGCCATATACTGCCAGTGGCTTCCTAGCTAGACGTAGGGCTTGATGAGCCCCTCCCCACCCACGCTGAAATGCCTATTGGCCTGATGGGTGCAGGTCATGTGCGTGTAAACATGGCCGCTGTGAGGTCATGGGTCCAGGGGCCATGTCACGTCCAGAAGCCAGCATTTCCCAGCTCTCCTCCCCATCTTCATGCTCGTACATTCTTTCTTCCCCCTTCCCCATAACGTTCCCTGAGCCTCGGTCAGACTGATAGAGATATCACCTGGTGCTTTTTCTGGGTAGTTTGCCCAGTAACAGCTGCCCATTTCAGACAGAAGCTTCTCTGACGAGGGTTAGGGCTAGCACTATGGGTACAGACATAAATGTTCAGAAGGCAGTCTGACACGTCCATTTATCAAGCCAAAAGTATCAGGTTTCCCGCTATGATCTGGGACTTCCACAGCCATGGGTTTTGACCAGGTGCACAGTTCTAGGCATGGATTCCGTCCTGTTGAGCAGGCCTCGAAAGCTCAGAAAGTGGCTGGTTGTCCCTCAGTGGTGACACCCCTCGTTCACCAGTGGGCACATCTGGCCGTGCAGCTTACAGAGTCCAGCTGTGGGTAAGACCATGTATGGCTTCCCTACCCCAGCAGCTGCACAGCACCTTCCAGCTGTATGAAAGCTAGCCAGCAGAGAGAAGCTTCCTGGTCAGCTCCAGCCTCGTTTCTATATGTGTTCAGCAATAGAATCTTACCATACGGTCATGACGGGCAACCAAAACTATTGGCCATAGCCTCTGCTGCTTCCGGGAGACCTCTGGAGTTCATTGACCAACGACTTCTTATAGAAAACTGTTCTACCCCCGACACTGGGATTTTCATTTCATACCACATGTCTTCTGGTAGAAGCATCGTCTGCCCATGCCAGGTATTCCTTTTATTCCAGGCTTGTCCCGTGCCACACCAGATGACAGAGCACCTTGAACTTCAGCCCCAGCTCTTTCATCACCTTGGCTCTAGTGGCACCATTCATCCCCTCCCCCTCCCCTGGCATCCATCCTGCGCTCTGGACCCAGCCACTGAGGCCCTTCTCATGCAGCTGCCCTGCCTAGGGGAAGACACAGGGAAGAGTCGGGTCTATGGAGAACACTCCAGTTTGAAATTTGTTCTCTCTGTGTTTCTTGTGAGTCCACATTCTGCGTTTTTCCAGCACCCGCCTCACCCTTGAGATCCCCCACTGGCTTACCCACAGATCTTGGTGGTGGAGACTGCTGTTTGGTAAGGTGGGGGACCCGATCAGCTCACCCAGAGACCTGCTCACATCTTTCTCAGGTGGGATACAGGCAGGGTGAGCGAATCCTTGCTGGAATCCGCCCAGGATCTTTACCAGCTAGCGTCTGTTGACCTCAGAGTTTGTCTAGGAAGTGGACCCATCTCACTTGGGCATGGTGACATTTGTTAAAGTAGGCCCATCTAACCTGTGCGTGGTGCCATCCATTGCTTTTCTGTAAGTGACCACATGGCCACTGGGTTGATGTCTCTAGCTTGGAGATCTGACCCACACTTTAGAAACCAGGCCTTTGTGTTCATGTCTTCCTGACGCTTTCCTGTCCCAAGGGCTTTGGCTCAGGCCTCCCCAAAATGGTGCATCACAATTCCTGTTTTAGACAGTTCTCAGATCTCCTCTCAGGAGAGTCTAGGTTGTGTTGAGCTGACAAAACCAACCACTCCCATGTCTTTACCTGATGTTTTCACATTCCATTTCCTCTCCTTCTTTCAGGATACCATACGGCCGAGCTATGAACCCTGTCATTCTCTGGCTTCTTTATCCCAACTTCTGTTCTAGAATCTGGACAGATTAGTGTGGGTTGAGATTACAGTAACAACCCTCATGAACCTAGATGTGGAACAGAATTTTTTTTAACTTCCTTTTTCTCTGTCCTTGTGGAGTACAGACATGTGGCTGAATAAAGATGAATCTTGGAATTTTCCTCAAGACTATGACCCAGAAATGATCAAGGAGGAGAAACGGAAGGAACTAGAGTTGGAGATAAGGGTTCAGGTATGCCTGCACTTGCCTCCAGTAGAACAAAACCATTCTCTGCAACAATTACACTTTTTACAGTTTTCAAATTGATGAGCAATCCGAGAATTGACCCCAAGGAGACACAAGCATGCGGAATCACGTAAGAGCCGTGTCGGAATTTTCTCCTAGGTTGACGAGCTGATGAGACAAGAGCTGAAAAACCTCAAGCTGGCTGTGAACAGAGAGAAGGAGCTCCCGCCCCGGGGGAAGAAAGGGAAGAAGGTGAGCATTCAACAAACATAGGCAGCAGACTCTGCCATGGACAGCAACGCCTGCTGGGTAGCTGGCTGTTCCCAGGATGCGCGCTACATGGAGTGTGGTGATTTAAATAAGAATGGCCCCCATAGGCTCACTTATTTGAATGCTCGGTCATGAAGGAGTGATGCTGCTTGGGGGAGATTCGGTGTGGACTTGTGGAAGGAAGCATGTCACTAGGATGTCACTAGTGACGTGGGTTGAGGTTTCAGAAGCCCAAGCCGGGCCCAGTGGCTCTCTCTTCTCCCGCTGTCTGTGGATCCAGATGCAGGACTGTCAGCTGCCTCTCCAGCACCTTGTCTGTCTGTGTGCCGCCATGCTTCCCCACCATGGAAATGGACTCAACCTCTGAAACTGTAAGCAAGCCCCAGCTAGAGACTTTCTTTCATGAGAGTAGCCTTGGTCATGGTGTCTCGTCACAGAGATAGAGCGATGACTAAGACACCAAGCATCCCCTTTCCGCTGATCTCACTGTTCACCACTCAGTGCTCCGTGGTATGGCCCTTAAGTAGGACTAACCCTGCCTTCTGAGAGGATTGTCCCCAGGACTGCCCATTACAGGTTCATATCTCCTTACCCAAGATGAACACTATCTGAGGGGCCGTAGCAAATGCCCCAATCTCTCCGCCCCATCTGTTCCTGAGGGTCGGTCTGTGGTGAATGCAGTAATAGCAAGTGGGCTTTATGAGTGCGAGAGTCAGGCTGAAAGAAACTGGGTGTGTGCAGCTCCTGAATCGCCACACATCCATCTCGCAGTGGTTTGCAGCAGCCAGTCGGACGGAAGCATGTACAGTGCCTTCCTTTAGCCTCCCGTTTCCACGTTCATCCCACAGACAGCCCAGCAACTGAGCCAGAATGCTCAAAAGAGAAATCCAAAACTCCTCCCTGGCAATGTTATCAAATACCCAAGAATCCTATGGTTTGGAGACACTAAGCCATCTTGCCTGTGACCCATGAGCTCACTTGCACTGGGTTGAGTCTTGGCATCTCAGGGGACACCTGACCTTAGGACTGTTCTCTTGGTCCATTTTGTGCTAAAATATAGCTTAACTCTAAAGTCATTTAAATTGTCCCCAGAGCGTTGTTCTGAAGGAACAACACAGTGACCTGAAGCAGTCCCCTCTCCTTTACAGGAACAACTCTTAGTGCCACTATAAAACTTCATGCGTGTCTTCATCTATGAAAAAGGGCATGTGTTCATAACTAGACATGGAAATTGAGCTGTTCACAGTGGGAAACGTATTTCAGAAGTGACTGTGACCTCCTATCAGATGGCAGGCTTTCTCCTCAGCAGCCAATCCAAGGCCACAGCAATCTTGCTTTCCTCCTCCAACCTCATCTCATTCCCTGTGGTCTAGCATCTTCAAGATGTCACCATATCACAGTGGTGTCAGCATCTCTCAAAGGATTGCAGGCAGTTGTGTAGCTAGAAGGGTTTTCACATCCCAGTCCCAAGCCAGGTGGCCTAAGGATGAACCTCAAAGCAAGCTAAAACGTAATCGATTACAAGGAGTCTCATAAGAAAGCCATTTAGCCAGGGATGATACATACACACACACACACACACACACACACACACACACACACACACACATAAGGACAACCCACAGCTGTTTTCTGCCCTTTCTGGAGACGGCGACTTGGTCAGAGATTATCCAACATCCTAAGTGGTCCTTCCTAAACACAAGTCTGATTTGGGCACTCCTCATTCACACTCTCCAGTGGCATCTCTGTATCTGCCTCAGGAGGCCTCTGGGAATCCCATAGTGGCTCTGGTTTCTTTGCATATGAATCGCACTCTGTGTCCCACCTGTGCTTTGTCACTGGTGGATGTTATATTTTCTGGTGACACCAGGTTAGCATCTTTCTCCTACCTAAAGGCCATGAATGTAGGAATGTTTAGACATAAGCGACTATCTCTGGCTCAGAGCAAACCCTTAATGCTTATTATTGTGTGGATTTATTGTTAAGTCTAGCTCCTATGGAGATTGGTCCCTATAGACTAAATGAATAACTTGGAGTGTCACGGTCTGACTTTCAGTGAAAGTGAAAGAGAAAGAGAAAAAAGTTGTTTTTTAAAAATCCAACAGTAGTAGAAGAGGGGAGACTTCTAAGTTCTTTTATGAGCCCTCCAGCATCCTGAAACCAAAGCCAGATAAAGACACTGCAATAAAATGAAGCTAGCTGTCAATTTTCCTCACAAGGGAACACGTATCTTCAACAAGACACTAGCAAACTGAGTTTGGCAACAATTAGATGGATTTTGCTCCAGGACCGTGCAAGGCAAGGATGGTTTGGCATGCACAGATAGGTCTCTGTGCACCACCACATTGGTGGGATGGAGTTGAAGAGCCTAAATCATTGATTATTAGAAGATCAATTGTCTTGTTCTAGGCCGTTTCAGAGATGGGGGGAGGTGTGTGGCATAGTTCAATATTTTATTGTGAGAAAAACTCTGAACCAATTAACTATAGAAGGAATTTACCTCCACGCAACACAGCTATGTTAACCAACAATATGTGCTGTTCGTAGAATACAGACATACAGACTGACAGCAAGTGAGTGTCGGTGCAATGGGACAGACGGCCCAGGGAGCCCTGCACCACAAATACATACAACTAATTTCTGTCAAAGATGCGACAGCAATTCAAAGGAAGGCGAGAAGATGCCTTCAGGAGTCGTCTGCTTGCTCTTTTTTTATGAAAACATTGCTCATTTCCACTTTCTTTAAACAGGGTAAAGGAAAAAAAGGCAAGAAGAAAGGGAAACGGGGAAAGAAGGACAAGGACCTAACAGCTGACAGGTGAGGCGTGGGCTTGTTCTAGGGGTGACAGATGCAGAACACATAAGAAATGTAGAGATGCCCCCCTCCCCAAATCACAGAGCAGGCCGAGGTAAGGCAGCCCCTCTCAGCCCTACCATGCACCTCCTAAACAGAGTGGGGGAGTGGCCGGCTCTGGCGGAAGCCTTGTCTAGACTCTAGACTGAAAAAAATACACGACAGGACCGCTTGCTTGGAGGTAAAGCTGCCTGCCACATCCGCGTTCCTGTTATTTCTAAAAACTCTAATATTTGCGTGGGAGTCAGGGGGTGGCACTTATTAAAAATGGCTGAGAAGATAACATCATGAGACTTAAGAACGTGCAAACTGAGTTTCTTCTGGGCAGGGGGAACCTCATTTTCTTTACAGCCTCACCCTGTCCCCTTTGCATGGTTTGAAGGGAGCCAGAAGAAAGATGTGTTGCAGCTGGGTCTCCAGGGGACTCTTTGCAATCTTGAGGTTCATTTGCCCAACTTCAGTGCTAGTAGATGGCTTGAAATGCTTGTGTTTTGTGAAGGCATCACTTTGTCAGGGAGTTCAGTCAGCGCCTGCCGACTGGAGGCTGGGCGTCATTCTTATGCATCCTCCCCTTACTGTGGGTTTTGCTCATAGCAGACATGAATGACATCCATGGAAAGAAGCCTACTGAATTCTTGGAAGTCCCCCTGCAGTCACCCCCGAGGCAGGCAGAGTAACCCACAGCTGGTGTGTGCTGGGAAGTAGCCCCCCTTGAGGTTACATTGTTCAATGCCTTGGCGCCTACAAGTGTCCTAGGGTACATTTGAGACTCTGGTACCCTCATTCATGAAAAGACAGACATCTTTCATTGCATAAATGCCGAAACTATCCGGGATAGAGATACGCGATACGTGGTCATTTTGAGGGGAGTCTGGCCAGATGGACACATAGAGCCACTGAGTTTATATCTCTTTGTTTTTGCCTTAGTTCCAAAACAGAGTGAAGTAGTGAGAAACCGGGAGTGAACACTGGGGTCTCCTGACGTGACCCTGCTCCTCCTTCCTAGTTAAAGGATCCGTCCACTTTCCTTTGTATTTGAAGTGTCACCAATATAGTGGTGCTGTCCGGCATGGCTGCAGAGGTGGCCTCCCTGTTATAACAGCTAGACGCTGAATGTGTTCTGGGATGTTTCCTTGCCCTGGAATCTGTCTCAAATAAGTCAGAAGCAGTTCATTCTAGCTTCCTTTCTGATTTTGCGATAAGAACACTGGTCGAAAACAGATTAGGAAAGAAGAGGGTTATTTAGCTTAAACTCCAAGCCATAGCCCATCATTGTGGGAAGTCAGGATGGGGACTTGAAGGTGAGCCTGCTCGCTATTCCGCACAGTGCTACCTTCAGCCAACGAAGTCACTTACAACCAAGGAGTAGAACAGGAACTGTGGAGGAGGCCAGTTGCTAGCTGGCTCGTTCACTGGCTCACACCTAGGTTGCTTTCAGATATAGTCCAGGATCATCTGCCTAAGGAATGATGCTGCCCACAGTGTCCTGGGTCCTCCAATATCATTTAATGATAAAGACAAACCCTGACAGGCATACCTGCCGGGTCAAGTCAGTCTGATCTAGATGACCCTTCAATTGAGACTCCTTTCTCCGATAACTCTTAAACTGTATCAAATGGAGGTTACAAATCTTCCTCATCCCGGCATCCAAGCCCCTTTTTGAGAAGTGTTGTTGTTGTTTTGTCATGTATATACAACACAGAGAGCCACACCCACCTGACACAAACACAGCTTTGGACGATTTAGCTTCCATATAAGAATTATCTTCAGCCAGGAGTGGTGGCAAAGTCCCAATACTCACGAGGCAGAGGTAGGCAGATCGTTGTGAGTTCAAGATCAGCCTGGTCTACATAGTGAGCTCCAGGACAACCAGAGCTACATAGTGAGACCCTGTCTCAAATCAAACAAAAATAAATTATTTTCAGGCTGGGCATAGTGGCACGCGCCTTTAATCTCAGCACTCAGGAGGAGAGGCAGATGGTACTCTATGACTCTGAAGCTAGCCTGGTCTACATGGTGAGTTCCAGACAACCAGGGCTATGTAAGGGGAAAAAAACCTTCAGGACTGAAAAGATGCCTTGATCAGCCTGTGAAGCTCCAGATACCACATCAACACATCAACCTCTAGCCTGTACTGCATACACACACAGCACACACATAGCACACGTGCACACACACACACACACACACAACACAGAATTGTCTCCAGTATAAGCAGCTCTTGCTTTTTGTAGATGGTAAGCCACTGTACTAGCAAAGTTCCAAAGAAACAGAAATTTCACAAAGGCTAATGATTTATTGGCTTACAGATGCTAACTGAAAATAAAATTCTAGGCCCATTGTATTACTATTACCGGGTAATTTCTAGCTCGTATTTGGTCCATCATAAAGACTGATGGAGTCATAGGAGGTCTCGGAAGCCCATAAATATAATGAGAAATTATTAATGGGAAATATCCAATATGCACATGGTTGGCTGAAAATACTGTTTTCAAAAAGCCTAATTTATCCCTAAATTGTAGAAATATTTCAAAAACCCATTTATTTGCATATGTGAAAGCATACTTCAGAGAAGTCGTGGTCCTGCGTGTTAGTGTGTGCTGGTGACAGAGGCCCTGTGTTTCCTCCTCAGGACCATCAATTCTCTGTACAAGGAACTGGTTGAAAAAGGCCTGCTGATCCAGTCTCTGAAGGTCAACCTCTCCGATTACATCGGTAAAGTACCCTGAGAACAGGGTGCACATCTGTCACACGGCACGCGTGGGTGCTAGACATGTGTGCCCCTTGTGTCTCTCTCCAAACTGTGCCGTTCCGAACAGTCTGTGTTGCTCTCCAGACATCTGGGTTCTTTGTTGTTTTCTTCGCCATTTCATACAGGTTAAATATTTTTGACAGGAGATGCATTGGTGTATCCTCGGGCCTCTCACTGGAGGTACCCCAAGCCTCTTTGTCTTGTCTGGTGGCGTTTAAGTTGAACTGGTGGTGAAGATGTTGTCCTCAGACTGTTTCTTGGAAAGCTTCCTTTTTCCCTTTATGGATGATGAACAGTCTCCGGGGCAGAACCTGGGACTCACTCTAGAGATTGCTCCAAGCCATCTGTCATACAAACACCCAGATGCCCATTTACCACTTCCCCTCTCAGAGTACAGGAACGTAGGCTCTAGCCAGCCTCACCCAACCTTCATTTGTCCAGGAGTCTGGCTCTGTTTGTTGAGCCTTGATTATGGAAACTTCTGTTCTATGGTCTTAGCCATATCCTCACTACCCCACCATCCCATGGTTTTCTCTTTTAGATGTTTGCACATGTGTGTTGCACGTATGCACACAGGCATGTGGAGAGCCGAGGTTGACCTGTGTCTCCTATTGTCATGCTCCACTCTATGTTTTGAGATAGGGTGTCTCACAGAACCTGGAGCTCACAGATTTAGCTGCTAGGTATTAAGATCCCCACATCCTCCATCTCGGCCTCCCCGGCACTGGGGTAGATGCACACCCCTAGCCTAGCTTCCACCAACTCACTTTCTCATGGTTGCCCAGCAAGCACTTTACCCTCTGGGTTATATCCCCAGCCCTGGTTTCCTTCACGTCCATCTTGGCAGAGCTGGGCGACACAGGAGGCTAATTTACAATCCTGCCCTTCACTCCCAGCCTCTGACTGAACATAGACCTACCAGCCAAATGGAGGGGGCCTTAGCTAGTGCTTTGATAACTGCTCATTATCTTCTGGGATCCATTTCTGATTTTGGACCAGCCACCTCACGTCTTCAGGTGTCCTTCATCAGAAAAGCAAAACAGACTTAAACAGACTTCCCATGTTACACATGGCCCACCCCTGGGAAGAGCTTCATTCTCAGCCTCACTCAGCCAGCTCGTATCTGATCGTCTCATCCAGAAACAGTCAGTGAAAAATGATCAGCTCTCGCTCGTCCTCTAGCTCACCAGTTTTGATTTTCTTTTCTCGGTTTCTTTAGCATTTTTAGACAGAGGTGGCCCCCAGCTGACCCTGGGTGACTCATGCCCTAGGAGAGATACCATCTCAGAGCCCTGATTTTCCTGTATGCGGGGCAGGAGAGAGCAAGAACCTGAGACACAGCAGGCTGCATAGCCTGCACATTCCAAAGACCAGGGACACAGTGCTCAGCAACGCTAGGACCTGAAACCAGCTTTTGGAGCCCTGTGGTTTGCAGCTCCTCTCTCACGTTAGCCCCCTTAATATACCAGATGTCACCCACACCACAGCAGATAAGGGCTGCCCTCCCCACTCTCAGCTCTGCCCCTGCCCAGATGCTCAGCTCCAAGCACTGACCCTGTATCCAGAAGTCCAGCAGCAGGCTCCTGGCCAGATCTCAGTTCACAAGAAACAAAACATTTAATCTGGCTTTGCAGCCACTGCATGATCAATGCTGTTCAAACACACTCAGCTTGAAGAGCCCAGACCCCACTCCTAGGGAGCAGTAAGCTCCAGGTTCCTGTGCGTGAAGTATTCTGGGCACTTTAACTCCTTTACCACAGGGTTAAGGCTGGATATCCGTTCAGTACTTGGGACCGTTGATCGAGATAGGCAAAGCTAGCCCACCCCAGCCTTCCAGCATCCCTGTCCTTCCCTGGATCTTCCAATGCCTTCATTTCTGCTACTGTGGAGTGGAAATGACCATAGCAGCAGCCCCGATGCACGAATGTCAACACTGCGTGAGTCACACCCCCACTTCTCAGCCCTTCAGTAGCCGCTGCTCCTGTTAGCCCTCTGCCAAAGCTGTTGTCGCCTTCATTGGTGGACTCAGGGGGTTAGCATGAGAAGGGCTGGTGTCTTCAGGGTGCCCCCACCCCTCTCCTACACCACATTTACTCAGAGCACCAAGAGATCCCGCCACCTACAGACAACTCAAGACTCTCCTGCGTGGTCTTGGCACACCATGGCTTAGCAGCTGCTGCGCTTGATGAGAAATGGACCAAAGCTCTTTTCATGCCAGGTCACATTCTCCTCGGTGCTCATCACCTCTGCTGAAACTTGGAAGATTCCACAAGCTTCTAAAACTCCACTCCCAAAAGCCCGAAGTATGCCAACACAGCACACAAGCATGGTCTTGCATGTGTTCACCTGGAGATGTCTCTTGAGTCACGTGGTATTTGTACTCTCTTTGGAAGCTGGGGAGCTCACCCCAAACACAAGTGTAGTTCTTCAGCATTTCCAGAAATTCTCAATATGCATCACTATAGCTGTGTTGAAATATGGAGTGGTGGGCTGTGTCCCGCCACCCGGCTAGCTTTACCCAAAATAATTACATGGAAACTGTATTCTTTTAAACACTGCCTGACCCATTAGTTTCAGTTTCTTATTGGCTAGCTTTTACATATTGATCTAACCCATTTCTATTAATCTGTGTAGCCCACGAGCTGGCTTACCAGGAAAGATCTTAACCTGCGTCTGTCTGGAGTGGGAGAACCATGGCGACTCCCTGACTCAGCTTCTTTCTCCCAGCATTCCGTTCTGTTTACTTCGCCTACCTAAGGGTTGGCCTATCAAATGGGTCTAGGCAGTTTCTTTATTAATAAGAAATCACTCCCACATCATTTCCCCTTTTTCTGTTTAAACAAAAAAGAAAGGCTTTAACTTTAACATAGTAAAATTACATATAGCAAAACAGTTATCAAGCAAGAATTACAGTTACAATATTTATATCTATTTTATCTTTTATCATAACTAAGGAAAACTATAACTATCTATTCATTCTTCAACTCCATCAAAGACTCCAGAAGGATATAATACTACCTAAGTAAACAAGAAATAAGAAAACTCTAGAAATGACAGAGACATCTCGCTGCCTGGACAGTCACCCAAAGTTCTTTTGTACCGTTGGGGTATCCATCTTCAGCCTTCAGGCCCATAGTATCCAGCAGACATTTCCATGAAGCAGGAAATTTCAAAGACAGTTCAGTCACTATCTGCTGTGTCCTGCAGAATGTCTCACAGACACTTTCATGAGTCATGAACCCCAAAAGACCGTATCACCTTTAGGCAAGTTCAGCAGTCCTCTCTCTGCGGGTTCTCTGTGTCCATTTTATGCAACAGTCCAGGCAAGAGCAGTTTCTTGCCCAAATGGCTATCAAACTCCATAAGGATCCTCTTCGATGCCCATCTTCCTCTCGAAGTAGATTGGTGCTGCCAGGAGCAGATATGTCTGATTGTCATGAAAAGTCCTAAGTTATTAAAATATTTTAAATGCCATATTCTGCAGCCTTTGAGAGATATGAAGAATGCCTATCTGAAATATATCTCTATATATCTAGAAAATCTAAGTGACATGACTACAAGCTTGACTATTACTGATGATTAACCATTAACCTATATTTCTTAATTATACATTACATTTTTAAATGAACTACACAATCACAATACCTTAATCAAGATCAGAAATACATATACATATAACAAAATTGACTGTAAAATCCACACCAATGCAAATTACTCATACCTATATCATTTCCCCCTTTAAATGTAAAAGAACATTTACAAACAATATTTTGGGAACATGGGCGCAGTTTTTTCTCTCCAAACTGCTTCCTGCTGAATGGGGGCGCTGTTAATCAGATCATTTAGGGTGTAACCTGTGTGCCAGGTTTATCTCAGTTGGCAGTTGAGTGAAGTAATTTTTTGAGGGTGTTCACAGGAACTTTTCGGGAGGTCGTGGTCTATCATACCATATCGGGATAGATGCAATCCACAGGGTCTGGTCCTCTGTGAAAACAAAAGAAGACCCTTTCCAAAGCATCATATCCTTAGAACCAAATTCTGAAGTCATACCCTCATGATATCCGTTTTGGTTCCACTTGGCAGCCCATAGAATGAAATGTCTCTCTGTACTTAGCTCCTTCACAGTCAAAAATTTTAAAGAAAACACAATGTACATAATCCAGACTCTCTGTGAATTTTCCATTTTTACGTGGCTTATTTTTCTTTATTTCTTTTAATCTCTTAACTATGTATACTCTGTCTCTTTAAAGACTTTACCTTTTTTTTTAACCATTAACTTTATTCTCTATATTCTTTTTTTTTTCTCTCTCAAACCTATGTACATTCATCCAACAGTGTGGTCTTTTATGTTTGAATCTGTTTTATTGTGAATCTGTAACATTTTTTTACTATCCAGGAGCATTTCTTAAAATGTTAAGCAGTTCTTAAAAACTTAAGTTACGCCATGTACAGGTAATACGGTACCGCCTGTGTCCTGCCCAGTTGAAACCTTAAATGCGCTGGTTTTATGGTAATTACGGTAGTTCCTGCCTGAGACCAGCACAGTTCAGCATGGCAGAACTGAGCCAAGCCGCTCCTGCCTCAGAGCCATTTGGTGCCCCTGAGCCACACACAGTTCCAGGCACACAGCAGTCCACATTGCCATCAAGCAAGCTGTAGAGCTTTACTCCAAATGCGCCATTCAAAAACTCTGTCTCCCGCAGGAGACAGATCGCAATGGCGGCACAGCCCAGAAAGCCGGCATTTTAAAACAGCCAGTTTTTTCCTGCTGCTGAGTCAGGACAATTTCTTTGCGGCACGCAACCCACAAACAGCAAAAAGCTGTATTAAATTCTCTCTCTCTCCTTTTTAAGCCCTCTCAGGTTTTACGTGGAGTTCATTAGCACGTTGGGTGCCACTCTGTTGTAATACAGAGCGGCGGGCTGTGTCCCGCCACCCGGCTAGCTTTACCCAAAATAATTACATGGAAACTGTATTCTTTTAAACACTCCCTGACCCATTAGTTTCAGTTTCTTATTGGCTAGCTTTTACATATTGATCTAACCCATTTCTATTAATCTGTGTAGCCCACGAGCTGGCTTACCAGGAAAGATCTTAACCTGCGTCTGTCTGGAGTGGGAGAACCATGGCGACTCCCTGACTCAGCTTCTTTCTCCCAGCATTCCGTTCTGTTTACTCCGCCTACCTAAGGGTTGGTCTATCAAATGGGTCTAGGCAGTTTCTTTATTAATAAGAAATCACTCCCACATCATAGCTGGACCTGAACCCTGTAACTATGTAACACTAGGCTTGTCCATAGACCATCACACCACAGGCAGTTCCCACTATGCGTGACAGGGGTGAGTTAGCCAATGTCGGTGATGTACCAAAGACCACTGTTTATGTTCATAGATGCTCCTGAGTGCCTTCACCCCTGTCCCTGAAGGATTCCTTTAAGAATAGAGATAGATCAGTCACCGTGCGGACCTGACTTCTGTCCCTGGATCCCATAGACAAGAAGTTGGGTATGGTGGCGCCTTCTTAGTGTTGGGGAAGTAGAGACAGGTGGCTCCCTGGTGCTCACTGGTCAACAAGCCTACCTGGTACCAGGCCAGTGAGAGACCCTGTCTCAAAACCAAGGTGGACAGCTTCTGAGAAACAACAGAGATTGACCTCTGGCCTCCAAATGTGTGTGTGTATGTGCGCGCGCGCACACACACACACGGATATTTTGATAAACTGCTCCATCCTTCATTCCTTTATTATTTCTATATTGAAAAGAACGGAAACACAAGTAGCCGATTTTGTTTTGATTTCCAGGGTACTGTTTGTTTCTGGTTGCTTTCAGCTGTGCTCTTCCACGCGGCTTCTCTTTACCTTGCTCGCTCTGTACCTGCCTGGTATGTCTGTCTTAACGGGGATCACAAGCCTGGCAGCTTAAACGGTGGAAAGTGATGGACTCACAGTTCTGCAGACTGAAAGTCTGAGGTTGAGGTGTGGCAGGGTGGGTTCCTTCTGAGGCTGTGAGGAAACCACCCCACCCATCCCCCCTGCTTCTGATGTGTGGATGCTTTGCCCCTCCTGTACCCTCGTCTCTGGGTCCCATCCTCCCTCCAGGCATGTCTTTCTCTGTATCCAATTCTCCTGTTCCCGTAAAGACATTTTCAGGCCACCTGGTGGTCCCATTTCCTAAAAGCATCTTCACAGACACCCCCCCCACACACACACACACACACTTACAGGTAAGGTCACATGGTGAGAAGCTGGGCTTAAAGACTCCAGCATCCAGATTGTACCAGAACTCAGTTCAGCCCCCCGTGCACTCCAGGTTTCTTCTCTTTCAGCTGTCCTGCATTTCCTATCCCCTTTTCACGTTCTTTGCCTCACTACCCTTTCTCCTGGCTTTCACCTTTTCTCTCCCTTCTGGAAGACCTGGTGCTTATGCAGGAGATCCAGAACCTTCTAAGCTCTGACTCTGGAGATGGGAGGGATAATGACTCCCATTCCGGGCAATCATTAAACACAGAGGCATGCTTTCAGAGTGAGGCTCATTACTTGGCAAACAGCCCGGGCTAGTTGGACCCTTCTCTCTATCAGAACCAACACCCACTAATTTAATTTAATATAATTTGTTTAAATAAAATCTGCTAGGTTCCAGAAAATATGGTCTGCCTGGATATTAATATAGATTTACATAAGCAAGAAAATTGAGGTCACTTTCACAGCCCTTCTCGTGTCATGTTTACTGGCAGTCAGCACTAGATTTAACGGTTGCTACAGGGTCTCTTTCCCTTCTGGTAGAGGCTAAATTAACCATTCCGCTATTTATTACCTGCTTGTTAAAATGCAGGAGTCTCCGGATCCGTAATGCAAGTGTCCACTATCACTCATTCCGCCAACCCATACCGCCGTCCTTGCCAAGGACTTCTTGTTTTCAGGCCGAGGATTTGGATGGCTGCCCTGCGCAAGACAGCAGCCAGTCTCCCAGTGGTAGCTCCAATTTTCCTCACGTTTGGAAATGCTGTAGGCATTGGGTGTCTTTGGCATTTACAAATAGGAGTGTGCATGCTGCGTCTGTCACACACACACACACACACACACACACACACTCACCGGGGCCAATGAGGACCTGAAGTGGGAAAGAAAGCATCTGGGTGGACAATCAAATACCCTGTCTCCTTCCAGGAGTATTTTCACCGCGAATTCAGAAACAGATCACAGGAATCATAGAGGTACATAAAGGTCCATCCTCGTGACAAATGGAGACAGCCAAACTAATTTTCTTGGTGACCTTATCTAAATGAGTTAGAAAATAACACTTCAGATTTATGGCTAGTTACAATTAAGGCCTTTGATATCTTTAATTAAACCTGTAGAGATTTATTTCCGTATTATTCCTTTGGTAACCCTTTAAAAATGATAAAAATGTAAATTAATATTGCCCTCAACAGGAGATGTTTCTATTTATCCTAAATTAGTCTCAGACCCTTCCTCTCACACTGCACTGCTCGGGCACACATTGCGCGTGGCTCTTAAATAATTTATCGTGGGACTTTGACAATTTAAGGAATAATTTCTTAGCGTCTCAAGCAAAACCTGCAGCATTTTAGCTTCTTTGTCTGTCACTCAAAACTTTATCTAGTTTCAAACAACACGATGCTTTTTTCTCTCTCTTTATCGTGACTATAAGGGGAAACGCTGAGGATCAATCACATCTGGGGACTGGTACATGCTAAGCGGCCGGCGTTTTTTTCCATGAGAGATTGTTGTAGCTGTTAATATAATTTGCCTTTTATTACTTCTGGCATCGCTATGCTTTCTTGCCTAGTTTCTCTTCAAACCTTATCTAGGAGAAGATGTCCTGGGTTCATTCTGCAGCTGAGATAAAAAAAAAAAATCCTCTGACCAAAAGCAACTCGGGGAGGAAAGAGATTATTTGGTTTACACTTCCAGGTCACAGTTCATCATTGACAGGCATCAGGGCAGGAACTCCAAGCGGGAACCACTCCTGGAGGGAGACCTCTTGCTGCCTCGCTCCTCTGGCTTTTGTTCACTTATCCATCCATGTTTAGCTGGCTTCCTCATAGAGCCCAGAACCACCTGCATAGGGATGGTGCTGCCCACTGTGGACAGAGTCTTCCTCTATCCATCTAGACAATCCCCCCATAAAGAAGCTCACAGGTCAGTCTAATCTGGGCAATTCTTGATCAAGGCTTTCCTCTCAGATGGCTGTGGGCTATGTCAGGAATATGACTGGGCCAGACGTGTCCTCCATAATGGCTCTTCCGCGTTGCATCTGTGTTCTCTGATCCTGCCTTTCCAGACCAGCTTGGTTTCCCATTCGCTCATCCAGGTTTCCTTCCTCCCCAGGTGAGTACAGCTACCTGGGGACCACTCTGCGCCAGGTGGCTGTGGAGCCCATGCCTTCTCTCCTGGATGTCAAACAGCTCATCACACTCTACGGGATCCTGCCTTTGGGTAAGGCCTGGCCGTTCCTACAAGCTGAAGCAGCACCCTCCCTTCTTGCTTTGATAGTGTTTCCTGTTTGACCCCAAAAGGACTTTTCGTTTTCCCACCCGAGAATATGAAGCCTTGTCTCGTTTCCATAGTAAATGCCCAACATGCCCATCAGAGAAGGGCCTGCTGGGAAGAGTGTTTCTGTGCCATCTTTGGGTCCAGTTTGCAGTGTGGCAGTCCGCTGGAGACAGGTGGACTCTGTGAAGTCAGTCAGCAGAGCCCAAGGGCTAGGGCAGCAGTGTGCCTTCACACGGTGCCTTCTGTAACTGCATCCTCTCTGAAATTGGTGGGATGTCTTTCCTGTGTACTCAGTCTTTCCCTGAGGCTCTCCTGATCTTCCCCAATGTCCCTTCTCACCAAGGAAGAGTTCCATCACATGCTTCAGACACCTCTCTAGGGCGTGCCTAAGGATGCAGGAAGGCATGGAGTCGGTCTTCCTTCCCTCTGGTTGATGACTGCCTTGGGAGGGCAGCACCCCGCACGGTGGTGCTCTGCCCACAGCTCTGAAACTGGAAATTGCGGCTGATTCACCTGCTTCAATTACTGTCCCGCTTTGACTTCAGACCTTAAGTCTGTTGGCAAGAAAGCCTCACGTCCCCCCTGACATTACATCACTAGTAGTAAACGTAATTGGAGGACCATATAAATATACAGTTTCTATATTTCATATTGTATCCTGTACAAGTATAACATATTGGAGAACACGACTTAATGTCAACAAACTCGATATGTAATATTCACGGGGCCAACTTAATAAAGTACATTGAGCCTCACACCTTGTTATAACAGAGTGAGAGACAGAGAACACAGTGCTGGGTGTGCTACATTTGTCCCCTTGGTTTGCAGGACCCTGGCATGCTTGGTTTTCTATTCTGCTTCTAAAACCTCCCTTGAGAAGACAACCCACCTCCTCTACCTTCCCGACCCCTTTGTCGTGGAGGACCCTCCCATCCCCACCCCTCATCCCACACCACCCCCATCCCCGGCTGTCATCAACAGCTGCCAAGGCCTCCTGGCCACAGAGTCAGCTGGAGAGCTTGTTCTCCTGAGGGAGTTTGATGTCACCTGTCAAGAATGCAGACGCGAGCAGGGCAGATGAGCTGTGTGCACAGATATGCCTTCGGGGCTGTTGAATGTAAATTTCACAAGTCACCTCCAGCTGTAAGTTAAAGCAACACGGGGAGATGTCAGCTGCTACCGGCACAGTTCCCGAAGCTGCCCCTTGTCTCCCCGCACTCCTGGGGAAGACTTATGTGGAAAGTGGTGTCCTGTTACCAAAGGAACCAGGCAAGGCCTTAGGGAGCACTGATGGTTCAGGTCACTTGAGTGGCAGCCGTGGCAGAAGTCCACAGAGGCCACTTTCCACATCTGGCCTAAGTGACTAGAACTAGCTTTGAAGTTCCATAGATTGCCCTCAGGGTATGAGAGAAATCCCAGGACATGTCTAATCAGGTCTGGGGAGATCCAGAGAAGAGGCTGAGGGTACTGGGGAAGGCGCTTTGTTGGGTAGATCTGGGTTTGTTCCTGTGGTCACCTACCCTCCAGAACCCTCCATCTCCAGATGGCAGAAGTAGGGTCAGGGCCTAGAACTCCATTCCTCCCGTTACCCTGCAGTCCTCCAGACCTTCGACAGGCCCTAAGCCCAAGGCCGGAAGTGTCCTCACTCTCTAGGCCACTCCATAAGATGTCAGAAAGAGCTGCAGTTGCCAGGCCTGTGAGGCCCCCTGGCTCCCTGCTGAACCCCAACCACAGAGACCTTCCCTGGACCCTCTCTTCACCTGAGTGGTCTAGGTGGCCCCTCCCTCAAAAGGCGACATCCTGCATGCACATCTGATGCATCTTTCCCGAAGTCTCCTTCTGCTCCCTCCCCAGATTCCGTCCTCCACGCTGTCCTTTCCTCTGCCACCCCTTCCCAGGCTCTCCCACCCCTGGCCCCAGCCAGCACCCTTGGCAAGCCTAGGATTCCCACCCACCTTTCAGACACCCAACATCTATCACCAGTCTCACCACCTGCCCCATCACTGTCTTTCCCAGTCACCTCACCAGTCAAAATGTACACAGCCCCTCCAAGACCTACCTGGCTAGCCTCTGTGCCTCCATCGCTCTGACCTTCCTCGCACACTGCTCCTGGGTCCTCCTCCAAAGTCCAGCACATATGTCCCCTTCTCCCAGAGACCAACTGAGGCCCCTAGCTTAATTTCAGCTTCTCCAGCACCGTGGATCTTGAGGCTCCCAGCATCCTTTGCCTCCCATGGCAGGAACACCTGAAGCTCAGTCCCATCCTGGCTTCTCGTTGCAGGTCCACCGTCTCAGGACTCAGTTCCCTCCTGACCATAAACTCTTAGCAGCATATCTCAAGGCATTTCCACATTTAAAACCCACCCTACCTAGCCACGGGAGCACGCAGGGCTTGCCAGGGCCATGCCCAAAGCATCCTTCCATATCCAAGTATGAACAAAAGAGGAATAAACGGCCTCTTTTTCCTGCCACCAAAAAAGTGTACCCCTTCATCATGCTATGCTGCTATATAACTCCCACTAGCCACGAGCAATGCCCCCTTGCTTGTGTCACCTGAAAGGACATGGAGAACAGTGAACAACTATAAAAATATGTTTCTGATTGTCACACAACTCCCTGTATCTTCTCAGTTATCCCTGAAAGGAAAGGAAGGGACACGTTATATCGAGCCAGGCATGATAGCACATTAGAAAGGCAGAGGAGAAGGATTGGGCCAGCCTGGGGTATAGATAGGGTGAGATCCTGTCTCAGATTTTATGATTAATGTTGTTGTCATTATATTCACACATTAACAGCCAAGACATGGACACCCAGCGTCACTAAAACCAGAGTCCCTCAGAGACAGCTGCTCCCCTCACCATACTGACCAGCACTGAGTTCTGTGTACCTTGTACCTCCTGAGTGCCCTCTTTGTTCTGCCACCCGCAGCCCCCATGTTGGAGAGCACCTGGCCTGAGGTGTAGACTGTGGATGAGGTCAGGAGGCAGCAACAACAATAAGCCAAGTTGCTTCACAGCCAAGTGCCAGATAACCTTTGCTCCTGACAGCCTGGGGCCAGCTCAGGAGAAACACCTCTCAGCTTTGCCCCCTGCCCTTGGCCTTTTCCCCTCCACCCTGTCTCATAGGCTTCAATACATAGGAGAAAAGAAGGTTCCAGAGGAAATGAACACGTCTCAGCCGATTGCATTGTCTGTCTCTCTGCATTCCATTCCCAAGTTGTCAAGGATTTAGTGAAGCTCTTGACAGAGAAACCCCAGAAACATTACACACACACACATACACATACACACACACACACACACACACAAACACACACACACACCTTGGGTAAGCTATTGCAGGAATGTTCCTTAAAATTTTGAGTCTGAAAAAATGCAGAACCAGTGAAGAGAATCTGGCCTGGAGGACCCCAGAGGCCCCAGAGCCCAATGAGGCAGAAGGTGAGCCTTGGACTTGACATGATTTCCTCACATTCATGGTGGCCAGAGACCCCTTCGTACAGTGCAACCACAGCCTGAGGCCCGCTAGCAGAATAAGGACCTCTGGCTTTGTTGGCAGCATCCAGCAGCATTGGCCTCTGTCCTTTCCAGGGTCCCCAGAAGTGCACGAGAAAGCCCCCTTGGTGAAGTCGCTGCTGTTGGCCGGGCCTTCAGGGGTGGGGAAGAAAATGCTGGTCCACGCCATCTGCACGGAAACGGGAGCTACCCTCTTCAACTTGTCCTCCTCCAACATCGCCGGGAAGTACCCCGGCAAAACCGGCCTGCAGATGATGCTACACTTGGTTTTCAAGGTACGTGCTGGGGCTTCTTTTTCGAGTCCAGCAGGTCATTCTTCTAGGCCAGCAGACACGTTTGTGTTGAACTCCCATGTCATCTGCCCCCGCCCGCATAAATTAACTCCTTCTCACATGGGGCTGGGCATCACACAATTAGAAACAGCTTCTTCGGAGCGTAATCACCCTACTGTGCCACCCAGCCCTGACTCCTGCAGCCACGGGGTTCCTTGCTGAAATGCCTGCACGTCTCCTGGAAACTCAGACCCGCGTTTGACTTCCTCAGCTCATCAGTGTGGGAGCTGTGTGTATGCTTCTCATGTGGTATAAATTACACTGCTCCGTTTCCCTCTCGGCGCTGGCTCTCCCAGCAGGTCTGAAGGAGGAAAGAGCAGGAAGCTAACGGACAAGGATGACACAGGGTCAGTGTCTCAGAGGACCCAATGCACTGCCAGCTCTGTGACCTTAGTTAAGTTCTTAACAGCCCCTTTGGGTCCCATCACCAAAAGGAATGAACCTTAAAGAACTCTGATAGGAATCTTTTATTATGCTATGAAGATTTTACAAGATGTAATTTTTGACTTGGCCGAGGACCTTGCGGTCATCCCCCTGCCTGTCAGCTTGAAGTGTAGAAACCAGTGTGGCTGCACACACCGTCCAAGTTGGGCACTGGGCTGAACCTGCCTTTCAGAGCTATAAGAAATGGGGATGGAGTGTAAACGAAACACAGATAGAAGTGAGCCCCTCCTAGGAATGCTGGCCCAGTAGATCTCAGATGAGCGAAGTCAGGAGTGGGCTTCGTTCCCTCAGCCACCTCTCGCCATAGGACCCTTAGGGAGGGTTGCTCTCTTCTCCTTTCGTGCTTGTCACAAAGGAACCCTACGGCACAACGCTTCCGGTCACAGGACGCCTATCTGGTGTGCTCTGCTCAGATGACTGACTCCTCTCAGGAAATCTCTCTTCAGGTCCTGGCCTGCTTTGGGGCGGATGGATGGGCGAGTGGGTGTGTGTTTGTGTTCGCGTGTGCGGGATGCACATGTGTGAGTGGGGGTGAGCATGCAGACGTGTCAGAATGCATGCAACAGCCAGAGGTCAGCCTTGGGTGTCATTCTTCAGATGCCACCCACCTCGTTGGAGGAGACAGGGTCGCTCACTGGTCTGGACTCACCAGGTAGGCTGATCTGGCTCTGGCCAGCAAGCACCAGAGATCTGCCTGTCTCTACCTCCCCAGCCCTGGAATTAGAAGCGCACACCAATGCCCAGCTGTCTCAAATGAGTACTGACTGAGGATCAGGCTTGACTCTTCCTGCTTATCCAACAAGCACTTTACCAACCGAGCATCTCACCGGCTCCCTCACTGCCTACCTTCCTCGTTGGCTTCTTGGTTTGTCAGAATTTTTTGTATATCCTGGATGCGAATCCTTGTTACTCATGAATTGTAAGCATCCACATTTCCCCAGCCCCTCTTGGGCACATTGTTCCGAATGTGTGCTGGTATAAACTGTCAATCTGACACAATCTAGAATCACCTGGAGAGAGTCTCAAAGAGGAATTATCTAGATCAGATTGGTCTGCGGGGATTGTTTTGGTTGCTAACTGATGTAGAAAGATACAGTTCACTGTGGGCAGCATCATTCCCTAGGCAGGGGGTCCTGAATAAAGAAACTGAGCTGAACATAAGCAAGCAAGAGAGAGCTATTCATTCCCCTCTGCTCTCGGCTGAACGTGATATGACTAGCTGTTTGAAGTTTCTGCCTTGACTTTCCTGCTGTGATAGACTGAAGCCTAGAAGTGCAAGGCAAACAGAGCATTCCCAGCCTATGTTGCCTCCTCCCCTGGAGCCGAGATCCCAGGGCCTTGTGCTTGCTAAGTAAATGCTGTATCACTGAGCTAAACTCCCGACAGCCCACTGCAACGCTGGTTTTACTCCGGATATTTTATCACTGCAACAGAAATAAAACCAGGACAGTATTTCTCCTCACAATGCCCTGTGATGTAGACACTGCCCGCTACCTCCATCACCAATAAGAAAGCAGAGGTACCGGGGTTACAGTGCTGCTTTGTGTCCCCTGAAGTCCAGCCAGCACCTCCATCATTCATAACCTGAGTTATGAACGCACAACTTGTGTCTGGGTCTCTTCACTTCACACACAGCGCCTGTTGTGACTCTGGGCACAGCCAGTGACCTGAGCCTTGGCAGGTTCTCCCTCTAGGAAAGTGAGAGCCCTTGTCTTGATAACAGATAAACAATCGTTGCACTTCCTAGAGCAATCACAACCCAACGTTATGCGGACAGGAAGTGCTAGACGTCAGGCTATTAAAATGTAGGCCGGCACATCATCCACCTAGGCCCCTTGGTGCCAGGAGCCTGACACACACCTCATTAAGCATCACCTTCGTTGTGTATGTAGCTGATTAATGAAAGATCCAGAAGTCTTGGGAGTGGGAGTCATTCAATTAAAGACCGCTCCAAGAGGCCACTGTGCCCTGGCATGGCAGACATAGTGATCTGCATTTAATTAACCAGAGGAAGGCAGGATTAGGAGCCAAGGGTAGGAAGCCAGAGGGTGTGGCTCACTAGGACCCAGGAAGTTGGAGGGTATGGGTCATTGTCGAATCTAGGACCCAGGACATGGCTCCAGGGCAGTTAGGCTGGCTCTGTGGAGTTTGTTGGAGATGAATACTGAAGGGCCTTATTACCCATCATGCTTCCTGAGACTAATCCCTATGCCTGACTGAATCTCTGGGGAGAAGCTGCAACTGCTAGGAAACTGTGCATGCCCTCGTGGCCAGTGGGGGGCACTCAGTCTCCCATGGCACCCCCAAAGCAGGGTTTGGAAACAAACCTCTGGTTTGCTTCATAACCATTGATTCAAGTCCATTTTGTGGCCATAGCTCCTGAAGGATTCTTGTATTTTACGCAGAGTAGCAAGGGAAGGGGTCTCCATTCAGACACGTTCAATGTAAATGGGGACAAGTTCCTTCAGATTATCTGTCCAGTTGGGGTAAGATGAAGACAAGAAGGTGTTACCTTTAGGAAATAACTAGAAATTCCTCATGTAATCAGTTCAACATTTGGAACACTGTCACCGTCCCTCCGGCTCCTGGTGTAGGCAGGGAGAACTGAGGGTAGAAGGTGGGGAGACACAGGGGGAACTTTCATCTTCAGGGAGCCAAAGAAAACCCAAGGGGACAGAAGTGATGGCATGGGGGAGTCCTAGGGCGGACCCAACTCTGCGGATGCCTTGATCTCAGGCTTGCAGCCCCCAGAGTATAAGCCAAGGCATTTCTGTTTTTAAGTAGACAGAAAGAACAAAACATTGGTTGATTGGTATATGATGATCCCTGAACAACTACGTGTGGGCAGAGAGGCCATTTCCCAGGAATCCACAGGCACACGTCTCTCGGGATTCTTATGACAGTAAATCAGAGGCAGGGATACCAAAAGGATTTTGGGAGACATCCAACCGGAAGTGAGGCACACACTAAGCAGTGATATGCACTGTTCAGGTGTGAACACCAAGGGCCTGGACACTGAGCATCAATCCTATAAGGGTGTCTGTATGAAAGCCAGGGTCACCTCCCACAGCACGATGAAGGTGGTTTCAGATTTAGGGATGGGGTCCAGAGCAATACCCATGCCTTGTCCTGCACACACACTTTATTCATAGCAGTTTGAAGCCAATGGCAGGTTTAAGAAGGATGTGTGGCGAGTTCACTGTATTCTTCCCCACGCACATATGCCCGTCCGCCAGCATCCCACAGTGTGGATGTGCTGTGCTCCAGGACTCAGCACGCCATGTCTTCATCATGCCTGTTAGTGGTGGGCGTCTGGGTAGCCAGAGAGATATCTATATTATATTACACTCTCATTGAGTCTTCAGCATTTAATCCTGGGAGGATAGAGTCAAAGTAAGAACACCTCAAAAGGAGCTCAGATGGAACCATGTGGGAAAATCCACCCCAAATTGGGGACATTGTAATCTAGAAAAAAAGAAAAGGAAAGGTAAGGTCCCTTGATCACAGAATCATGTAGTAGGTGTGTCTCCAGCTCTGGGAAGAAGGGAAGTCATTTGAGAGGAAGGAAGGAAGAAGGCCAGTTCCTCCAGGGAGATGGTAGTTTTGACTGCCCTCCAAGGGACAAGCGAGGCTAGAGGAGAGAGCGCACATCAGACCATGGGCACCCTGCACTGTCGGCAGAATGTGAGGGAACACAGTGGACATTAAGTCCCGAGTGCGGGAATTGAAGGCTGCTGATGTTCATGGAGAAGTGAGTGATCTGTGGCCAGGCTTAGTTAGACATCACAAGCATGGAAGGATGCTTCTCCACCCTGGAAACACTTAGGGGGGCAGGGGTGATGGGGCATTAACTGCAGTCCAACCTTCCCTGGAGACTTAAGAGTGCCTGAGTATTCAGCCCATATATACCCTGTTCTTCCAAAGATGCTCCAACATCAGTGTAGCATGGAGGGGGCCCTTCAGCTAATGTACAGAAGGGCGTGGACTGGAAGGAATGGGACTTTCAACACATTATCCTTGCATGTGTGAACACAACACTCCATCCTGACCTCTCCCCTTACAGTTACAGCATCATTGTGTCCATTCCTGTCAGCGCTGCCCTGTCCCCCAACACACTGCCCATCAGAAGCTTCCTCAGGAGTCCCTGCATCCCTAGTCCTTCTCCTCTCCCCTTCCTCAATTTACCTTCTTTTCATCAGTTTCAGGATACTTCTACTCTGTGGTTTGTTATCATTTGCAGTTTCAAAACTAAGTTAGCCCCTTGCTAGGACTTGAAATCGTTTAGCAGATTGTATAAAAGATGGTGCAAAAAATGACAGCAATTAAAAATAGAATGTTGAAATAGTGGGCTTGCAGAAGAAAATGTCTTCACATCCTCTTCAAATGGACCCCTAGTTAGTGAAGAATGTGAGCGTCCAATAACCTGAACCCTTCTGTTCCTCTCCAGCATGGCAGCACCTCGTACACAGACTCAGGATACTGTATCCCTGCAGGCAGGG